AAAAAAAAAAAAAGGCTACCCTGCCCGACATCATTGCAGTAGAGAGAATATTTTCTTTTTTTCCTTTTTCTTTCACTCACGGGCAATATAAAAATCTGATTTATGTGGCGTTGGAGTTACATCGCTAATCTTGGTTATAATAAGACGACCTAATTGTAAACCACGTAAGGCCGAAGGCTTCTCATAACCTAAACCTTCGATTCTCACTTCAACTGACTTAATTCCTAATGGAATAGCAGCACGAGCTACATTCTCAGCAGTAGCTTGAGCAGCATAATTGGTTGAACGACGAGATCCTTCCCCCGACCCTTGGTCCAACCCCCGATAACTTTGGCAACTGGCGAAACATCGTAATTTCCCACCACTGGCAGAGGTACTACCGTTGTCCCCCCAACATAACACACCCCAAAAATGAATGTATACAAGCTATATTTCCGGCCAGATACGGTCAAAATCAGGGTGCGTTGTGTTCGGGGGAAGACGGTAGTGGTTTAAAGCTGGGACCTTCCCTGGTCATCGCACGCCCAGGCCGGCCGGGAAAACAGGGTGACCGGCACGGCTGGTAGCCTGGGTCTAAATGGCCAGGACCGCCAACATGAAGGCGGATCATTATATAAATGGCCAGGACCACCAACTTGGCCAGTTATTATCATTATGGGGATGACGACAATGGGCATGACAGCGAGTAGCAAGAGGAGCAGGAGAACATGGGAAGAGAGAAACAAGCACATGGTTTCATTGCCCCATAATTTGTGTGCTGGCTGGCAGTGCCTGCTTTCAAATCCGCATCACCAACATGAACACTGGCCATTAACATTATGCTGACAACGGTGATAGTGCCGATGGTGCGTAGCACGAGGGAGGAGGAGAACAGCGGAGAAGGCAATACCTAGCATGCACATTAAGCCCCATTCTTTGTGTGATGCCTCCTCTCACGTTCAGCATCAGTGACATGAATACTGGTCATTATGAGAATGGTGATGATGCGGACGATGATGATGGCTCCATTGAGAAGTACGTAATAGTAGTACTAGTAGGTGCAGGAGTAGGAGTACGGGTAGGGGTAGGGGTAGTAGTAATAGTAGCCGGAGGACTACGAATACGGGTGCAAGTAAGCAGGAGCGTTAGGGGTAGACATAGTAGGAATAGTAGGGGTAGGAGTAGGGGAGGAGGAATACAAGTTGGGTTAGGGGTAGGGGTAGGGGTAGGAGTAGGGGTAGGGATAGTAGTGGGAGTATGGGTAGTAGTAGTAGTAGTAGTAATAGTAGTAGTAGTAGTAGTAGTAGTAGTAGTAGTGGGGCTAGGAGTATTAGGGGTAGATGTAGTAGTGGCAGTAGCGGTAGGGGTAGTCGTAGTAGAAGGGAGAGGAGGAGAACGAGTAGGATCAGGGGTACAAGTAGGAGTAGGAGTAGGGTTAGGGATAGGAGTAGGGGTAGGGGTAGGGGTAGTAGTAGTAGAAGGGAGAGGTGGAGTATGAGTAGGGTCAATGATAGTAGTAGGAGGCGTTGGGATAGGAGTAGTTGGGGTAGGGGTACAGGAAGGAGTGGGAGCAGGGGTAGGGATAGGAGTAGGCGTCGTGGTAGTAGGGGTGGGACTAGGAATAGGGGTGGGAGTAAGCAGGAGTACTAGTGGTAGATGTAGTAGGAGTAGGGGTAGGAGTAGGAATAGTAGAAGGGGGAGTAGTAGTACAAGTAGTGGTAGAAGTAGGCGTAGACGACGACGTAGTAGTAGGGGGGATGTAGGAGGAGTGTAGGAGGACAAAATGGGAAAGAGAACACACGCACTACGTAGTAGTGATATGGGTACAATAGGAATAGGGGTAGGAATCAGTAGTAGTGGGCGGACAAAATGGGAAAGCGAACACACACACACTATATAGTAGCAATAGGGGTAGTAGTTGTCGCAATAGGAATAGGGGTAGGAATCAGTAGTAGTAGTATCAACAGCAGTACGAGCAGTAGGTGCAGGAGTACAAGTAGGAGTAGCGAGTAACAATATAGTAGAAATCATACTTGCAAGCAGACGGACTGGACAAGCGTCCGGTCTGGTCCGTTTTGCCGCGTGCAGCACCCTCCCCTCGGACCGGACGGACCCGGACCGGACCGGACGGGGGCGTTTTTTTTTTTTTTTTGGGGGGGGGGG